TAATCTTGAAAGTATGCTCATTTACATATATTTTATCATTCTAAAGCAATACAAAAAAAACTCAAGGTAATTGCTGCCCAATTCCGCAAAAATCAGAGTCAAAAATCAGAGTTTTTCTATATTAACATCATCGATCACACCAACTAACTAATTCCTAGCAAGAATTAAATTTACAACTTCAATTTTACCATGTCAAACAATAATCTATAGAAATAATTGAAAATAGTTGTTGTTTTTTACTAAAAATTTCTCAGTACTCAGTAAACTTTGTCATTAGTACCTCTACACTCACAACAAATTATGAAGAGCACATTCGCTCCATCAACATAAACTTGGTTCAAGTAAAAACTTGTGATTTTCGCTAGCTAGGGGCTGCCGCTTTATCAAAGGAACCTAAAGTGTTTTTAGTTAAACTCATACATTATATGATGGTCAACCTATTTCCAATCAAGAACTCAATTGACAACTTCATTTGCTTCATATCATAGCTTTAGTTCAAAAAATCAACTAAACTGACTGCTGCTAACTTAAGAAAATCAAGGTTTCTCGATCAAAATCCATACTATAAACACTAGTTGACTCATTTACCAACAAAAACTTAATTTATCATGTCAAATGCCTGGTATTAAGGCAGAAATTTTGAGCAAATAGCTAGGTGGCTACTGCCATATCACAATCATTCTAATTTCTTTCATAGAATCTACAATAAACACCCTAACTTACACATTTCCTTGTAAAATGTTGTTAATAGTGTCAATTAATAGTCAAAAATCAGATTTTCCCAACTTTTGGTCGTGTGAATAGTATTTCAGGAACTAGCATTTCTCATTCATGATTCTACCGACCCTTTCCTCAAACGAACTATTGAATAAGTGAAATAATTGAAGGAAAAGGGATCAAATAGAGCTCACAAAGGGATCAAATAGAGCTCACCAAGCCATAAAATGCATTGATGGAGGTTAAGTTATAGCCGGCAATGACGAACTCGATACTGCAGTTCACTACCATTTTTTTTCCTCGTTAATCGCTAACTTCAGTTGAACAGAGAAGGAGGAATGATGCTCACGAGGTGCTAGGGATGAGGTGGGTTGGCCAATTAAGGTTTGGTGTTGCAGGAAATGAGATAAAAGCGTGGAAGGCGAGCTGTGTCGATCGAAAAGGAAGAAATCGTAGCAGTTCTCTCTCTCGTTGGCAAAACTATGACAGAATGGAAATGGAAAGGGTGGAAAAGGGTTGTGGCCGAAGAAGCGGATTGGCGACGGAAAAGGAAGTCCGATTAGCCAAAAGTTGAGCTCAGGATGCCCGGAGGAAATTGCAAAAACGAGAAAGGGCCGAAAGGGCTATCGCTGGAAATCTGGAAGGGAAGAGGAAAATAGGGACAAAAATGGGTTATTTGAGGTTTCTAGAGCTTTCAAATTGGTCACTAGGTCGGTTGGGCTGTTGATTGAGTTCAGTTTTTGGCCCCAAACCATAGATTTGTCTTGTTTTTCAATTTGGCTTATCGATTTTTTTCAAATTGGTTTTCCTTCTCGGTTAGGAATTTTTAATGAATTTAAATAGTTTAAAAGGTTTTGGTTTAAACAAATATGGTTGGCTCAAGGGTCAATTTATCTTTGAGATTTTTTGATGATTATTACAAAACAAATTAAATTTAATATTCTCTGTATGTACTAATATTATTTTGCAGAAATTATGTGAAAATTATTGAAGAAATTGGAAGTTCCTACATCCCAAGATTTTTATTGAAGAACATGAAGATTAATGAAGATATTTTTCTATTGGTTAGTATTATAATTAAGTCTTTAGGAAATTATTGTAGGATAGAGAGTAAATGATATTATAAGCACAAATCTATTTTATCTCTCTCAAAATTTTTTTTTGAAATGTTTTTGAATAAATTTATTAAGTGGATATAAGCCAAAATCGTTACTCTTCAACGCTTTTCCATCTAAAATATCTTTTGGAGTAAATATTCTTGGTAGCTATTTTAAAATGAAATTCTTGCAAAAGTATTTTTTCTGATCTAAAAAAAGCAAGTTCTGATTTAATACAACTGTCTGGTTCCTATACAGCTGGCTATTTCTTGAATATAAATGTTACACTTGTTTTCTAAACTGAACCTTTCCACCTCCAACCCTTCATGTGTGAATATTAAATGTGGTCTGAACAAGCCCTGTTTAATTCAACCCATGCATTTGCCTCGTTAGTTTAAAAACATCAGAAACTTTCAATTGGCTCATTAAAGCAAAAAAAAAAAATTCTCACGGTTAACTTCTAAAGAGGGACCATCCATCTTTTCACATAAAAACTTCTTTCCTCTCTTAAAAAGAATGGGTTTTTTGCAAAAGAGTATGAGTCTATTATTTAAAGTTTAAATCTCTCAAAACTCTCTCTTCAATCCCCCTTAATTCTTTTCGTTCTTTTTGCTTCAAGAAATTTTTAATAGGAAAAGAAAAATTTTATTTTTTATAACAACTTCTTTTGAAAAATTTGAAAAACAGTTCTGTTTTCTAAATGATTTTCTAATCTGAAAAATTGTTTTTCCTGTGCTTATATTTGCATTTCTGTCTGTCTGTTTAGATTCTATAATCTTTAGTAGACAGGCTTTTATTTGATAAACATTTGTGTAATAGCTTAGGTGAGAAGCTATTATGAAAGAGGTTATCAACCGACCTTCTCCGTGAGAGATATTCTAATGTCTTGAATTGAGTTTCTGTACTCTGCCAAAAACAAAAAGGGTTGAGGTTAGCTAGAACCTTTGGAAAATCTAGTGGGATAAAGGGTAGATCTAGGTGTTGATCTATTATCTTGTACTGTTGGTTTGTCTCTTACCCTTGAAAATAGTTGAGGATCTCAAGATGAGTCTTGGGGACTTGGGGAGTGGATGTAGGCGAGTTAGTGCCGAACCACTATAAATCTCTGTGTTTATCTTCTTTTACTTTCTGAAATTCTGCTTGATTATATTCTATTTACACAACTGTTAATCTGTTTAGAAATGCAAAGTTGTTAATGAATTTCTAATTCTAATATTGAATAAGCTTTATCTCTGTGGAATATTAGAACTCTGGATTTCGGTATTGTGATTATACCAAGTTCTAATCTGTCCTTCTATATTCAGTGTAATTCACAATATGAATTATAATCAGTTTTCTAATCTTGCTTAAAGCTTTGTGAAAGTTGTGAACCAGTTCTAAAATGCAATAACTATTGTTTCACAGAGTCTTTCTAACAATAGCAATTTAAACTTTGTTGAAGCTGTTCTTCACAAAGTCTTTCTAACTTGCTTAAGCTTTGTGAAGTTAGTTCTAAAATTGCAATAACTATCCTTCACAAGGAGTTATTCTAAAATTGCTTAAACTTGAAAGCAGTTCTAAATGCAATAATTTGTTTTCTTCACAGAGTTTTTCTAATCTGGCAATAAGCTTTGTTTGAGGAAGTTCTAAACTTGATAACTTAACTCTCACAATGCTTTTCTAATTCCGCTGCAATAGAATTCTGAATTTTTGTTCTTCAAAGTTAAATTTGTTAGAAAACCCGAATTCACCCCCCCCCCTCTTGGGTTGTTGCCATACATAACGCGGACCTACAAAAGTATAATTTAAAGGTTTGGTTTAACAAATATAACATATATTTACCTTTAATCTTGTTACATAAATTCACAAAGTATTGATTTATGTATTTTAAATATGTCCTATAATGTCATTGGTTAGAATTAATATTTAAAATTTTTTAAATGAAAAATTTCTGAAAATAAAATTTTGGGTTTTTTCATTAATAATAATTTTTATTTTTTTATTACTAAATAATTTGTAACTACTATCATTTTAAGAGATTTATATATCCCTCATAACAAATATATGGCGTCTTGATGATTAAGCATTTTTAATTTTCTTGATATTTTTTCTCTAATATCCTAAATCTATTAGACTTGAAAAAAAATAATATATGGAAACTTTTAAAAAAATAGAATTATATATTTCTATTTTGGGACACTTTTGGAGATTTAAAGAATTTGTGTATATTTGTACATATTTCTTTCTCTAATGTACTGGGTAAGTAAGTCAAAATGATCATCTTTACCAATTCAGATCAGCTTCTCATTTATTTTCTTGTACCTAGCAGAAAAAATTTATTCATTATAGTTCTATATAAATATTGATTTAGGGTTGAGGACACCTTAATTTTCTTTTGAGGACACCTTAATTTTCTTTTTGGGCACCTATTAGAATTCTAAGAACTATATTTATAAATTAAGGACTCAAAAATTCGATCTAGCAGGGATTGTGTTGAACTTTATTTTAAGACCGCTTTATTATATAAAAATAAAGTAATACAAATTAACCATTTGTATTTATTTTAATCTAAATAAAAACTTATACTTTAATAGATAAAAAAATTATGAATTACAAAAAATTAGTATATAATAAGCATAGTAATTAGTATATAATAAGCATAGTTAAATGCAACGCATGTTATAAAAAGACTAATACGTATTAAAAGTAGTTTAATACCTAGTGAGGTGAGTTTCTATTGGTTTAGCTAAATCACTAATTTATTTGGAAACTTGTAAAAGTTCTATATATAGTTTATTGAATTATATATTGATGTATTGTTTTAACAATTGAAACTGTTGTTTATATAAACCAAACCGATATGATTCCATTCAACTCGATTCATTTTTTATGATCGGTTGGATCAGTTCATTATAATATGTATTTCGATTTTATCAGTTTTAGGTTGTTTGGTTCGATTTTGAACCGAACCGACCGGATCCAAGAAAAAAAAAACAAGATTTGTAGAGAGGAAAACGAAAATTTCAGATTCTCGGAAGCTTCTTGGGAGCGTGAACGTACAAGGAAAGTAAGCTTTGGTTTACTCCGTATTTGAACAGAAACAAGGAGGTTTCTGGTTCGGAACATCACCTCTCTCTCACTTTGAAAAATCTTTCAATTTCTAATCACCAGATCTTTGTCTCTATCGAAGAAGAATATGAGGGAGAGATCGAAGAAGAATATGAGGAGAGTCTTCGGCGTTAAGAAAGATAAAGAACCTCCTCCTTCTATTCAAGATGCTTCTGATAGGGTTCATTCTCTTTTCCTTATGTCTAATTTCTATACTTGAAATGTTTAATTTGATAATTTCTTGTTACTTAGGGAAAAAAATATGGTTTACAAGACATTTTATGGACTGTTTAGTTGAATTTAGATTCCTTTCCTCAGATTAATAAAAGGGGCGACTCAGTGGAAGAAAAGATTAAAAAGCTTGATGCGGAGCTCACTAGATACAGGGAACAGATTAAGAAAACCCGACCTGGACCTGCTCAAGAGGCTATAAAAGCTCGAGCCATGAGGGTTCTTAAGCAAAAGCGAATGTGAGTATCATTTTCGTTCTTTCAACATTGCATTCTGAATATTGAATGAATTAATGAATTGATGGTATTAATAGTCAATGCTATTAGCTTTTGTTTTAAGTTTTTATGTTTTATTTGCAATAGAAGCTAAGGTTACTTGGGTAAACTTTTGGGATGTGGTAAGAGTAGTAGTTGATATTGTTACATTGTTTGTAGCTTTTATCTCCTATTTGAAGTTGATGGATATGGTTGCAGTCTCATTTTGCATGTTTAAATTTTGGAGCTACAAATTCAGTAATTGAGGTTCAGTTTGGCCCAAACCATAGATTTTGTTTTGTTTTCAATTGGCTTATCGATTTTTTTCAATTGGTTTTCTTCTCGGTTTAGGTCGCGTCACGCCACTGCCAGTCGCGTCACCCCACTGCCAGTCGTGTCACCCCACTGTGAAAATGAGCTGCGTGACGCAGCGACAGTTGCGTGACGCAGTTGTCTCCTGACCTATCCTATAAATACATCTCTTTCTCACAATTTTGACGAAAAAAGAAGAAGAAGAAGAACACGATTTTGAAACCCTAAAAAACACACTATAAAGAAACCACAATTAAATCCGTGGAAACAAAGCTTCTGGAAATCTTAACTATCATTTTTTAAGAGATTTGATCCATTTGCAAGCATCAATCTGAGGATTAGGTAATTTCCTTAACATTCTTTGTATTTTTTATATATTTTTGTGATTTTACTAAATCTATTAGACTTGAAAAAAAATAATATATGGAAACTTTTAAAAAAATAGAATTATATATTTCTATTTTGGGACACTTTTGGAGATTTAAAGAATTTGTGTATATTTGTACATATTTCTTTCTCTAATGTACTGGGTAAGTAAGTCAAAATGATCATCTTTACCAATTCAGATCAGCTTCTCATTTATTTTCTTGTACCTAGCAGAAAAAATTTATTCATTATAGTTCTATATAAATATTGATTTAGGGTTGAGGACACCTTAATTTTCTTTACCTTAATTTTCTTTTTGGGCACCTATTAGAATTTTAAGAATCTATATTTATAAATTAAGGATAATTAAGGACTCAAAGAGTTCGATCTAGCGTGGTGATTGTGTTGAACTTTATTTTTAAGACCGCTTTTATTATATATAAAAATAAAATTATAAGTAATACCAAATTAACTTTTGTATTTAATTTTAATCGTAAAAATAAAATTAATCTAAATAAAAACTTATACTTTAATAGATAAAAAAATTATGAAGTACAAAAAATTAGTATATAATAAGCATAGTTAAATGCAACGCATGTTATGAAAAGACTAATACGTATTAAAAGTAGTTTAATACCTACTGAGGTGAGTTTCTATTGGTTTAGCTAAATCACTAATTTATTTAGAAACTTGTAAAAGCTCTATATATAGTTTATTGAATTATATATTGATGTATTGTTTTAACAATTGAAACTTTTGTTTATATAAACCAAACCGATATGATTCCATTCAAATCGGTTGGATCAACTCATTATAATATGTATTTCGATTTTATCGATTTTAGGTTGTTTGGTTCGATTTTGAACTGAACTGACCGGATCCAAGAAAAAAAAAAAAACAAGATTCGTAGAGAGGAAAACGAAAATTTCAGATTCTCAGAAGCTTCTTGGGAGCGTGACAGTACAAGGAAAGTAAGCTTTGGTTTACTCCGTATTTGAACAGAAACAAGGAGGTTTCTGGTTCGGAACATCACCTCTCTCTCACTTTGAAATCTTCAATTCTAATCGCCATCGCTCAGATCTTTGTCTCTATCGGAAGAAGAATATGAGGAGAGTTCTTCGGCGATTATCGAAGAAGAATATGAGGAGAGTCTTCGGCGTTAAGAAAGATAAAGAACCTCCTCCTTCTATTCAAGATGCTTCTGATAGGGTTCATTCTCTTTTCCTTATGTCTAATTTCTATACTTGAAATGTTTAGTTTGATAATTTCTTGTTACTTTGGGAAAAAAAATATGGTTTACAAGACGTTTTATGGACTGTTTAGTTGAATTTAGATTCCTTTCCTCAGATTAATAAGAGGGGCGACTCAGTGGAAGAAAAGATCCAAAAGCTTGATGCGGAGCTCACTAGATACAGGGAACAGATTAAGAAAACCCGACCTGGACCTGCTCAAGAGGCTATAAAAGCTCGAGCCATGAGGGTTCGAGCTATTTCCTGACCTACCTCTATAAATAGATCTCTTTCTCACATTTGATGGACGATTTTTGAAACCCTAAAAACACACCTTGCGGCCATGTTTCTCTCCAAAGACTCTTCTGAGTTCATTTGAAGAGAAATCGCCATTAGATATCAATTTTAGGTAAATCAAATCATAAAAAGAGAGAAAATAACAAAAGATAAACAAAGAACACTTGAATCCTTGGAAACTAAGCTTCTGGAAAATCTTAACTATCACTTGTTAAGACATTTGATCCATTTACAATCCTCAATCTAAGGATTAGGTAATTTCTTTAACATTCTTTGTATTTTTTACATATTTTTGTGATTATTTTTGTGGTTTTAGTATTTAAGCTAGTAATTTAAGCTTCTTTAAATTGTATTCTGTTCATATTTGGCCATTTTATATGTCCTTAAATCACATTTAAATAAAAAATGATCTGAATAAACCATTTGAAAACGAGCTTAGGCAAGAACAGTTGCGTCACGCAACTGTTCATCAAGAACAACTGTATGACACAACTGTTCTAAGCTTTCAGATTAATTTCTTCAATAAATCTGAAAACGCCCAACTATGAACAGATCACAGTTTAATTAAGCTTAGAATACTAAAATGTGATTTTATGTGTTTATTTGTATGAATTTTACTATTTCTGTTTAAATTAAAAATGAAATTAAATTTGTTGATTTATTAATAATTTGCATGTTTAGGATTAAATGGAAAATAATAATAAAAATGTGATTTTTATTGTTAAATAATAAATATGCATGGTTTTGGATTTTTGGGTTTATATGTTTAATTTCAAATCGGGTAGAATGTATTTTAGGTTCGGTTTGTCACCCGCCTTGAACCATAAGGCAAGAGCGGGTCATTTATTTATTCTATTTAATATTTTTGACTCGGTTTGTTGCCCGCCTTTGACCATAAGGCAAGAGCGGTTCTTTTATTTGCTTGATTTAATTGCTTTGATTTGAATGGTTATTATGTGATAATTAGATTTGATTGGGACGATTAAATAATTTTCCATATAAGAACTTGTAATTAGATTTGATTGGGACGATTAAATAATTTTCCATATAAGAACTTGATTCATTTAGGTTGGGTTTAAGTAAATAAATAATTTGGCTTTTCTCAGTAAAATAAATTAGAAATCATAGGTTAAAAGAGGACGGTTTTTCCAGGCGTCAGCTTCCAACGAGCCGGCATACCCAATTCCCTTACCCAGAATCGCATTTGGTGCGTCTGACCAGTCTTTTTAAATAATTTGGCCTTAAATAAAATTGGGTTTAAAATGCTTAAATAAAATTGGGTTTAAAATGGAGTCATTTTTATTGAAAAACAGTCCCATTGCCTAAATAATGGGTGGCGACTCAAAATTGTTTATAAGACCAATTTATCGGCATCACATCAAAACAAAATATTTTATCCAAAAAGAGAAAAGGATGTTTTCGGGTCCTCCTGGGGGATTTGGGTGAAAATAAGGCCGCCCATGGTAATTCGACAGGCGAGTCTAGTATGATGGGTACACCAACCGGTTCTCTCTTGCCTATTTTGGAAAACACGTGGTTCTAGCTCCTTTGACACCACAAGAGGTCTATCTGGATCAAAAGAGGATATTAGAAAGCGAGGGGTAGAATTGTATTCAGGGGGAGGGAGAAGATAAAAATAAAGAAAAAGGGGAAAAAGAGGCCAAGAGTGAAAAGAAACAATTAAATGGCCCATTGGTGAGTGAAAAAACAAGAGAGGGAAGAAAGAAACAAAACATGGAAGAAAGAAACAAAACATGTATATGAGAGAGAGAGAGATTCGAAGTAGTGTTAGTGAGGGTAGGCCAGTCATAATGATTCGGTTTAAGGAAATTTTGCTTAATTTGACTAACATTTACACTTCTTCTTTGCCTTCTAGTTTTGTTTCTTTGTTGCAAGAGTTTTTTGATGTGTTTCCTGATGAAATGCCTAGTGTACTGCCACCCTAAGAGGCATTGAGCATCAGATTGACTTCGTGCCTGGAGCTACAATTCCTAACAGGCCAGCTTATAGGAGCAACCCCATGGAGACTAAGAAGTTGCAGTGCCAAGTTGATGACCTGTTGTTTAAGGGATTTATGAGGGAGAGTATGAGCCCATGTGCAGTTCCTGTATTACTTGTGCTTAAGAAGGACGGTTCTTGGAGGATGTGTGTTGACTGCCGAGCTATCAACAAAATCACAGTTAAGTACCGCCATCCAATTCCTAAGCTAGATGATATGTTAGATGAACTGCATGGTAGTAAGTACTTTTCTAAAATTGACTTAATGAGTGGATATCATCAAATTCGGATGAAGTTAGGTGACGAATGGAAAACTGCCCTGCCTTTTAAGACTAAATATTGGTTGTATATGAGTGGATGGTTATTTGCCATTTGGTCTAACCTAATGTACCTAGTACTCCTTCATGAGACTAATGAACCATTGTCTACGTTTGCATTTCGTAGGCAAATTTTGTTTGTGGTTTATTTGATTGATATTACTGATTTATAAGCCAATCTATTTGATGAGGGACAATAGTTAAGCATGTTAGGTATAAGTATTTTGATTAACTTTGAGAGGATTGAAAAGTTATATGCTAGCTTACAGAATGCACAGCTACAGAAATGCACTTTTTGCATAGATAGGCTTGTTTTTCATTGTTTTGTTGTGAGTGCATAGAGGATTGAGGTTGATGAGGAGAAGGTTAAAGCAATTCGAGAATGGCCAACTCCTAAATCTATATCTGAGGTAAGGAGTTTCCATGGCTTGGCAAGCTTCTACCGGAGGTTTGTGAAGGACTTCTCTACCATAGTAGCCCCACTCACAGAGGTGGTAAAGAAGGAAATTGGGTTCAAATGGAAGGAAGCGCAACAAAAGGCGTTTCATACTTTAAAATCCATTCTTTGTTCTGCTCCTATTTTAGTTTTATCTGACTTTGATAAAACATTTGAGATGACTTTGATAAAACATTTGAGATTGAGTGTGATGCTTCTGGTGTAGGTATTGGTGCAGTGTTGATGCAGGAGAGAAAGCCTATTGCCTATTTCAGTGAAAAACTCAATGGAGTGTAACTCAACTATTCAACCTATGACAAGGAGCTATATGCTCTAGTGAGAGCATTGCAGGTATGGCAACATTACCTTCTACCCAAAGATTTTATCATACACACTGACCATGAGTCTTTAAAGCACCTCAAGGGACAAGGTAAGTTGAACAAGAGACATGGTAAGTGGGTTGAATTCATTGAACAGTTTACAGTTTTCCTTTTTGTGAATAAATAGCAAGCAAGGGAAAGAAAACAGTTGTGGGCTGATGCACTTATCTAGGATGTATGCTTTAATTACTACTCTTAATCTAAGATTGTTAGGATTTGAGCATATAAAATCCTTGTAGTTGACGATATGACTTCGGTCCTTATTTGGAGTGGCAGGTGGAGCATGGGGACTTTTAACAAGTTTCTTTGGGCATGAGGGGTTTTTATTAGGGAAATAAAAACCTTTTGGTATACACAAATGTTTCCATGCATAATTGCTTTGTGTTAGAATCATAGTTGTGGGGGACGTTGGGGCTATTTTGGCGGGTTTCTTAAGAATATATATACTTGCTGAATATTTCTTTTTGCCCACATATGCGTACAGATGTCGAAAAAGTTTGTGGTGTGGGGGTTGGGGGGCCCCAAGGGCCCCAAATATAGCAAGTTAAGTCTAAATCTATGCCCCATGGTCCCTTATATAACCTTACCTGTACCTACTTTTCCTTTGAACTATATATTATCTATTGGATTTTGTGCTTGATTGCCTAGACAAAAGTGTGTTCGTGACTAGTATTTTTGTTGTTGTGGACAGGTTTTAGGTAAGATGGCAACATTTTTAATTGCAAATGCCTAAGAGCGATGAAATGTTGTCCATGTCGCTGAGTTATTTTTTCCAAGGGAGGTTATGAAGATGCATGGGGTGCCACGCACCATAGTATCAAATGCGTGATGTCCAAGTTCCTTTCTCATTTTTTGCGTGTTCTAAGTGGAGTAAACTTGGTATAAAGTTTGTACTCTACTAACTTTGTCATCCCCGCCCAAACGGAGGCCAGATTGAGGTAGTTAACAACTCTAGGTAACTTTGACTTAGAGCGGCGTGGTTGGTAAGGAATCTAAAACCTGGTGAAGGATTGTTTTTTGCCTTTCATTGAAATTTGCTTATAATCAAGGTCTGTACATTCTTCTAGTGGTTATAGTCCATTTGAGCCTTGTGTAATGGGTTTTAATCTTTGAATGACTTGGATTTGTCTCCTTTGCCTTTGAGTGAAATTGCTAACTTGGATGGTGAAAAGAAGGCTGAAATTGGTCATGAAGAACTGCTCAGATCCAGGGCTCATATAGACATGAAGAACAAAAGCTATGCTGACCGTGCCAACAGGGATAAGGAAGGCGTGTGGGTTTTCAAACTTGGAGATTGGCTTAGGTGCACATGAGGAAGGAAGATTCCAACCAACGGAAAGGGAAACTTGCTGCCCAAGGTGATGGGCCTTTTTTTCAAGTGTTGGAGAGGATCAAATGACAATGCCCTACAAGATTAATCAAACTATGGTGAGTATGGTAGTGTCTGCTACCTTTAATGGTTTCTGACCTTTCTCCATTGGATTTTGATTCAGATTTGAGGACAAATCTTTTTGAGAGGGAGGGGAAATGAAGGATCCTCTAAGCCCTACCTATCGGGCCAATCACAAGAGCTCGTGCAACCAGCACGAGGCCCCCCCCCCAGCCTGCATGCATATCTCAAGAAAAGATCACATTTGGGCTTCAAAGATCATAGTAATGCAAGATGTTGAGATTGGAACTTGAAGACACCAAAGTTGTTATGGTGCTTGAGCCATGCAAAGAGGCT